CTGCCTGGCAAGCTCAAGGTCCTGAGTTTGATCCTTAGTACAAAAAAAAAAAAAAAAAAAAAATTGACTTCTCAATTGGGAAAAATGAAACTAACTTTCTAAAGTTGTGAATACTACAGGTGCTTCTATTGCCTCTCTGGACATTTTTAAGGGCTTTCATTCTTTTCTGCAAGGGTACAAAGTACATACCTGTTCACATTCTAAGATTAAACTCAATTTTGTATGTGTCATCACTTTGGTAACCTTTTCTCAGCCCTCCACATCAAACTGATGAACTTTTTGTCTTTGTGTCGAATTGAACTGAAATGTCTGTCCAGTTTATCCAAGCTGTCCTGATTTTTGTCTCCCAAGTTGTATATTCAGAACCCCTGCCCACTCCCTGTTTAGTCCCAATCATGATGGTGGGTCCCTTCCCACACCTCTTAAAGATTGACTTAAAGAGTCAGTGCCAGTACAACCCTTATCAATGGTAGTATTTGCATCTCTCAGGTAAGTACAGTGCCAGACACTTACTAAGTGCCCAATAAATGTCTCTGGGGTGATTGAAGGGAGGAAAGCATCAGATGGCCCATGGATGGAAAAGCAAAGGGAGAGGAGAGAAGACAAGGCCAACTTAAGAATGGAAGCACACTGCAGGAGTGCTGTATAGAGCAGTATAGAATGATTACATTCATTGTGAGAAGCTAGTCTGTGTCCATAGCCCATCTTGACTCTCTGCTTGTGCCCTCCCCCATTTTTGGTCCTCTTCTCTTTTGCAAAGCTTCTTACTGTCTTTTTCTCTTTAATTTATTTATACCTTGAGTTTCTCATATAAGAGCAACCATGAAATATTTAAGCTTGCATATCTGATTTATTTCACTTAGCATCATGAGCTCAAGGTACATCCATTTGCCTAAAAATGATTCAAGTTTATTCTTCTTCATGGCAGAGTGTCAAAAGCATTTTAAAAAATACTAATATTCTACTTCATAAATTGAATGAAGCCTCTGGAGTTATGGCCTTGGGATAGGATTTTTAAAAATCTCCTCAGGTATTTCTAAAGGACAGATGGTGTTTAGAACTGCTGGCTTGTAGCTACCTCAAGGCATTCAAACACCTAGCAGTAGATAGAATCTATAAAAAAAATACTATAAAGTTAAAATATCTTTAAGGAAGGGCCGATTCTAAGAGTCCTCTAGTCACTTCTGTGTGGAGGATCTCTTACTGTTCTGGCTACTTTCATGCCTCTTCTCCTCTGATCCATAACTAGTCTCTCAATTGTGGGATCCCAGCTAATTTCTAGAGGAAAGAGGTAAAAAGACATAGAAATATTTTGGATGATCATGCCTACAAATTAATGTACATAGTGAATTTGTCTTAAAATGCTTGTTTGGAAAAATAAATAGCACCTGAGGTCAGGTAAAGAAAATAGTTAATGTTAGCAATTTGTTCCCTTCTCCAGGAAACAGACTTGCTACTGACAGGCTAAATAGATGTGCACCAGACATGGTCTTCAAAACCATTGATCTCAGAGGTTATAAACAACGCCCTACTGACCCATTGGTCTGTGTCCTTGGATTAAGAGAGCTTTCAATGTAGAGTCCCCTTTGCAGTGCATTCCTGCCAATAAATAAGCCTACTTTAAAAAATGTATATTGAACCAGGTTATATGTGATCATTAATCACAGACTCTCCCTCAGACTCCCATCATAAATACTGCATCTGCATAAAATTCCCTGCTGAAATCATCTGGCCATCTTTTCAGCCTTCTATGAAAAGAAGACACTTTTGGAGGAAAGAGAGAATAATGCACTGTCTTTCTAATTTTCTCTTAAGTTACTTAGGTCTTTCACAATCATTTCTCAAAATTATTTCAAATTTTATTTGAAATGAATGTAAAAGAATTTTGTACTTGCTGGCTCTGTGTCTTATAGCTCGGTTTCAGGGTCATAATAAACATAGTATCCTACCTTCATTTTCACATTTTGATATGTCTTAGTTACTGTGCGTGTCTTCCATATTTCTTTGAAGCCAGAGGTTTGCACAAAATGACAAGTCCAGTATTAAGTCTAAAGCATAGGAAGGGCCTCTGATGCTTCAACTTCATTGATGTCATAGTGCACCCTTCACTGCCCCAAGCAGCATGGTATCACATAAGTGATACTTCTCTCCTCTTGTTTATTGTTATTAAAGTGGCATCAAATTATATAGCCTCATATGAGATGCCAATAATACAGAATTGTAAAATTAAATTTGAAAGACCTTTTTTATCTCCCCTCGTGTCCCCTCCAGAGGTTATTACTTTCAGCATCCAGGACATGAAATGTTCCCATTTTTAAATAGAGCTTTCAAGGAGTTACTTAAAGTTTATTTCCTTCTCTAGACTCCCAGATACTTATTTTTTTTCAAGCATTCAGGTATGTGAATGGAAAGAAAGCAAGAAAACAAGAAAGTAAGAAAACAAGCAAGCAAGCAAGCAAGCAAGCAAGCAAGCAAGCAAGCAAGCAAGAAAGAAAGAAAGAAAGAAAGAAAGAAAGAAAGAAAGAAAGGAAGGAAGGAAGGAAGACAGCAACTCTTGATTATTGAGAGCTGATGTTCCAGTGTTGGGGGCAGCCTGGTACCTCGTGGATTTGTCTTGTTCTTTAAGCATGTGGGCCTCTCCAGAGAGCTCAGAACAGGGGGCACTTGAAGGAATTCTCACAGTTCCCTAAATTAATCCAAAACACTCAGTAAGAGCACGGGGAAGAAATCAGGTACTAAAAATCTTGGGGGAGCTGTGCAGGGATGCGGGAGGTCCACAGAGAATCCCAGGGCCCACAGTGCTCACATCTTCTTCCTCTCCAGCACATGAGTCTCCCCTGTGGATGGAACATTTTCAGGGATCAGAGCAGAGAATTGAACCAGGATACTCAGCATATGGAAAGCACCTGAGCCAACACACACTTTGGTTTTCTGAAAGACACGAGGTGCATCCATCTGGCAAGTGGCCAAACTTGCCTGTCAGGCTGATGAGAAACAACAATTGTATGAGTGATTCTCAGGCAGAGAATATGTGGGCCGGAATAGATGTCACCCATGGGTGCGTGATTTAAGGTCTAATGACTATCTATCACCTACTTGATCTTTCCATGCTGTCTTGTCCACCATCAGCACACATAGTCTCCATCTTCTGTATCTATGTGCAACTCAGATTCCAAATTTGCCCCTCCTTTACTTAGTTGTATCAATTCTTACTATGTATTTTTCGTATTTCTTAAAGCAGAACAGAGTACTCACAGAAAAAAATGTTCAATGGCAGAGTGCAGTAGTTAAAGCCCTCCTCTCAACATGAAGCCCTAGATTCAAGTTTCAGCAACATCACGGGGAGCAGGGGTGCAGGATTTCATTTGGCTGCACTTCAGTTTCCTTCTCTAGAAAGCACAGGGAGCGCTAACTCCCAAGGTGCCTACCTGGGAAGGTGGGTGTGTTGATTAAATGACCTATTCAGCTGTCATCAGAGTAAAATCTGCCCTTCATAAAGCTTCAGTAGCCTCAGATCCCATGATTTTTAGTGCTTGGAACAGAATGTTCTCAAGTGGCAGCAAAGGGCACCAGGAGAAGATGTCAGTGTGATTTTTGAGGGAGAAAATAGTCTGTCTAATTACAGGGCAGAACAATATACAAAGAACTTTAAAGTAAATGCTCTTTTTAAAATTTCAAAACAACTCTCTAAAGCAGGCACAAAACCACCCTGTACAGACCATGAACATGAACCAAAGGTCAGAGGGTAGCGGCGTCCTCAGAAGCATGCATCTGTTAGGTGGCCAGTTCTAGCTTGTCCGGGTTTTCCCCCCTCTATCTCAACATAGCTGCTGCCACCAAGAAGACTGGAAGAACGTCTTCTGCCTAAAACAAAAGGGCTTCCAAGCCCCATCACCTCTTCCTACCACACACTAAACTGAGATTACAGTTAGAGAGAAGGCTCGAAATTGCTTGTCTCCAACTCTTACCACAGTAATTAATTTACACAGTTGCATAAATGCCTTGGAGCTGATTATTTTGAGTCATTTTTCTGGATAAAACCATCGTACTTGAGAGTATTTGGAGATTGGAAAAGTGGTGCCCCAAAAGGACTGATTTCAGAAAGGGGGGCATATTTTATTTCCTTTGTTTAGGAATGCTGTAGGTGATTATATTACAACAGACATGAATTCACTTTCTTTCTAGGTGTAACCTGTAGTAGTGAAAGCTTAGGATTTGCTATTTCCTTAGAATGCAAATTCTCTCATTCAAAGTGCAGCCTAATAATACAAGCAAAATGTAGACACAAAGAAGAAAGTATTTCCATGCTTCATTAATCCATTTATTTGCAGCCCTGGGAAAGCCTCAAGAGCTTATCCTTTCTTATTTCTTGACCTCTGTGAAAGTATTGTGTTGAGTCAACGCTCTGCAAATGCAGTTAATGGGGAGACACATTCCTATAAAGAAGTGCTGATCAGGTAGAAGGAAACTGAGTGTAAGTAAATGAAGAGATGGGTAACTATTTGCAGAATACGGAGGAGGGAGGGAGAGAAAGAGGCAGAGAGAGGCAGACAGACAGAAGACAGAGACAGACACATACACACATATACAGAGAGAGAGACAGTCACATGCACAGAGAAGGAGACAGGCAGACAGACAGACAGACAGACAGACAGACAGACAGACAGACAGACAGACAGACAGGCAGGCAGGCAGGCAGACAGGCAGACAGGCAGACAGGCAGACAGGCAGACAGGCAGAGAGCACAACAAAATTTAGCCAGTTACCAAATCAAAGCTGTAATCTTACATTTACGCTCAACTTTGTTCAAGATTCCAGGATTATTTTCAGATTCCAAGTAATCTCACCTATCCTGACCAACAGAACTCCAGCATCAACTAGGCTCATGTGCTGCCCCCGTAATAGTCACAGTCTAGTTCATTCCTGATTCCTATGAAGACGTGAGATACAATTTCTACTCAGAAATGTCAGTCTTTAAAATTACCAATTCTAGTCCGGTCATTCATGCGCCGGGCTGCTGGATCTCGCTCGTAGTATTTTACGCGCAACCGGGTGGAAAGGCCGTCCGAGCCGCTAGGATGAAGCTCGTGAGATTTTTGATGAAACTGAGTCATGAAACTGTCACCATTGAATTGAAGAATGGAACACAGGTCCAGGGAACAATCACAGGTGTAGACGTCAGCATGAACACACATCTAAAAGCTGTGAAGATAACCCTGAAGAACAGAGAGCCGGTGCAGCTGGAAACACTGAGCATTCGCGGGAATAACATTCGCTATTTCATTCTGCCAGACAGCTTGCCTCTGGACGCGCCACTTGTGGATGTTGAACCTAGGGTGAAATCTAAGAAGAGGGAAGCTGTGGCAGGAAGAGGTCGAGGCCGAGGTCGAGGAAGAGAGCGTGGCCGCCGCAGAGGACGAGGGGGTCCCAGGTGATAACGCCTCCCAAGATGACGTGCAGAAGTGACTGGGGCTATTTTTTGTACAGGTTTTGTTTGTCAGTTTTTAATAAACGTAATTGTGGGATAGAGTTGTCTGTTGACTATTACCAAGCTTAAGTTTTTGCAGTTTCTATTATGTGTTTGTTGTATTTGTGAAATTAGTACCAGCAGATCAATTCCCTTTTCTTTTTTTGGTATTTTTTTCAGATTCTCAGTTCAGGCTGGCCTTGAACTAACTGAGTAGCCTAGTCTGGCCTCAGACCTGTGGTGATCTTCCTGCCTCAGCCTCCCAAGTGCT